GATGGGCACAAACTGAAGCACAGGAAGTTCCGTCTGAACATGAGGAAGAACTTCTTCCCTCTGAGGGTGTCGGAGCACTGGAACAGGCTGCCCAGGGAGGTGGTGGAGTCTCCTTCTCTGGAGGTATTCAGGACACGCCTGGACAAGGTCCTGTGCAGCCTGCTGTAGTTGACCCTGCTTCGGCAGAGGGATTGGACTAGATGACCCACAGAGGTCCCTTCCAACCCCTAACATTCTGTGATTCTGTGATTGTTTATTCTGGGGAAGAGAAAGTTATGGGGCATGTTTCTAGCAGGCCACCAATTGCCTGAAGAGCAGTCGCAAGGGTGACCAAGTTAAACTCTTCCTGGTAGGGGCACAGAGCGTAAAAATACAGCAAACCTTGAAAAACCCATGGCTAGAAATTGCAGCTTGAGAGGTTCAGATTGGACATGAGGAAAGACATCTTGCCTCGGGAGACAGTACAGCACCAAAACAGGTTATCCCAAGGCCCTGCAGAGTTCCCATCCGTGGGGGGTTTGAACGTTTGCTGGAAAATGCCAACCCTGAAAGGGGTGACCTGCTCTGGTGTGAGCAGGAACTGTAACTCAAGCAGCAGCTGGGGCTGGAGGTCTCCAGAGGTCCCTTCAAAGCAGCATTTGTATGATTTTGAGTGGCTTTGCCCCGATACCCATTTTACATATGAACAATATCAACAGAGCTATTTGTCTTCCATTTTCTGCCAGGAACAGACCATTTTCCAGCTTTTCCTTTGTACCCAGCAAGAGAGTTAAACACCATTTTGACTTTTACATGCAGATAATAGCTAAGAAGTGCCTGGAGGCAACTGAAACAGAGGACAGAAGGAGGTACCCCTGTGTGCCTTGAGTGAGTACTTTTGAAAGTAGCCTTACCCCTTTTTAAAAGTCTGGTGAAAGAGGAATAAATGGCATGTTATATTACATTTCAAAGAATTTCTTCCACAAAGTCTTGGATTCTGTACATATGTGGAGCATTGTAAAACTTATATGGGAATGTTGTCAGGAAATCCTTTTGATTACTTCAATTAAAAAAAACGCCTTCCCTCTGAAGTTTTGTGGTAACCAACAAGTAGTTACAGTCATCTTTTGATTCTGAGCTTTAAGGCAGAGGACTCGCACATACGGCAACATTACTATATATCTGAAAAAGCTCTAATATTAGTCCGTAAGTATTTAGAGTTGAAACTTTTTTTTATGTTTCAGTTTGTGGGTTTTTGTTTGCTTTTTTTTTAAACAGTGATAGCCAAACACGAGCTAATGCTGTTTCTGAAGGCCTAAAAGTTGATTTTCTTAATTAAGGGCTATTGAATGAAGTTAACCAAATAATATATTAACAGTGCATGATTAGCAGTACTCTCATATATTGTCCTGTTGTGAAATTAGAGTAGGTTTAGCAAAAAGTTCTAAAAATGGATTTCACCAGTACTGTGTGACCTCTTAAGTGAATCAGCCTTTCAAGTGAATCAGTGCCAAGGCCGTTTACTCCACCCGCAGTGCTCCCCTCTCCTTCGGCAGCTCCTCGCCTGTCTCCTGAGCTGCATTTGATTCGTCAGAGTTTTACACATGACCCTCGCTAAAATGTAGTGATTACGATGTACTAAGGAAGAGGTATTTGCTATATTTAAAAAGTGTCAGCGCTGATCTTTGTGAAATGTGTTGTGCCCATGGGGGAAGAGACCTACTTTGAAGTAGGCAGGAATGAGCTTGTCTAGTCGGTGGGTTTAATTTGAGTTTACAGTGGCATCTGCTGATCTGTGTGGTGATACCGTGGTTTTTCATCTGCGTTACCACATCAGCGGAAGGGTTAGGCACTGCCGTGCTTTCAGAATGCCTGGAATCTTGTAATTTTCAGGGGCAGACGTTCTACACTGATAGATATATAAATCTGGTGATAGCATCTTGTACCACATCAAAGACATTTGCGGCGACTCATTCTTCAACTTCAGGCTCTGTTAAGTGTGTGCTGTCCTTTCTTAAGAAGTATAACCGTGTCGTATCCCTAGTTTAGGGATTCTTCCCACCTAGTGTGCCCTGTTTCCAGGACTTTCTCCTGCAGGTGATCTCAGTTGCCCATCTTCTGATCAAGCTTTTTGCTGAAGATGCAAATACATTGGTTTGATCCTTGTCTGTCCCAGTTTCCCTTGCATGGTGTCATTGCCCCCTGGCCGAGATGGTGCCTTGCCTGCCTCGCTCCTTGCCTAAACTGATTTTTCAGGGCTGTTCAGTGCTGTCTGTACTGTAATAATCTTTTTGTTTTCCTTCTACATTTTTCTGGGGGGGAAAGTTGAGGCTGGATGTTTGTTAATAGAAACAATGCTTTGGAGTTAGACAGCTGACCACTGTAAATCTGACTGAGCTTGTTATTCCCTTTAAAGTGTAACTTGGACTGATTTATCACTAAAAATAAAGCCAGGAATTACAAAGTCATTCCACAAAGAATAGCGACTATAGTCTCGTCTCAGGCACATTCAGGTAGCTGTGCTCTTCCCACAGTTTACTCAAAAGAAGTTTGTGACAACATGCATGAACTCAGTAGGAAGAGGCTAGCTTTTTGAGGTACAGTGGTACAATTTATGTAGAATGGATAAAAAGGAATATTGCAGCTTATCTGAAGACAAATAACAATCTTTATTCTCCAGTGAGAGCAATTACTTCCCTTTGTAGTCATACAAAATAATTCTTTTGTAAGGAAAGAAATTCCACTGTGTGAGAGCAAATATTTGAAATGGAGCAAGTGATGTGTGTGGGAATTCGATATGCTCATGGAACACTGTTGTGTGCTAAAGTAAATAGGTATTTTTTCTACAAATGGAGGAGCTGAAGGTACTGGACATGCTGCAACTTCTGTTAACTAAATTGCCACATGCCTTTTCTTTCCTTTGCCCCTTTATAATTGACTTCTCATTTGATATGCCTGGGCTATTTACAATCCTTACTTGCAGTGCTATTGTTATTGTCCTGATGATACAAAAGAAAACACTTTCTCAAGATGTTGTGAAATATAACATGGTTTGCAATCCTGTGTATGCCTTTAAAGATGAAACGAACCACTGAATACAGTGTCGTCAGACACCACGCTTTGGCATGTTTGTCTGAAATGGTGGTCTTTTGCATACTTTGGAAATAGCACTCTGGTGTACTAATCTCTGGGAAAGTCATTTTTGTTATTGTTGGCTCCTGTGTTTAGCGTGCAGCTCTCAGCTGACATACTATACATTATAGAAAAATGCTTGTGACTCAGCTAACAAAAACTCAATCAAGAGTCTAAATTAAGAATGCCTTTTTTGTGTGTGTTTTTTTTTTTTTCTTATTGCAGCGTGCTGTCCTCTCTTATTTATACACAAGACGGTCAGTGTTCCGCAACTGTGTGTGGATGCTGGCAACACCACCCTCCATCAGTTTTATATAAGCAGCAATTCCACTTAAAAGAAAATTTACCATTTTCATACCACAAGTAGAAGGCACAAGTCCATCAGAATGGAAGGGAAAAGTCTGTCAGACTTTAAATTATGTTTAAGTAAAGATTAATTCTTTTAAAATAGCAATGCTGTTTCTGTGGCCTTCTTTTCTTGCACTACATTCATTTAGCTGTCAGCCTTTACATGTAGCTATAATAAGGTACAATTGCATTGCATGTTTTCATTGTAGACTGAAGCAGATATGTCTTACATAGCTTCAAATGAATGTTCATCATAATGCTGGTTAGAAAACAATCAGAAAAATAAGATAAAAAGTGTAACTGCAAGAGACAATGAATAGCTGAAGACAAAATAATTTTAAGAACTCTCCAGTACAAAACTACAAACTTATTTTGTTACTAAAGTTATTAATAGGTAACTGAGAATCCTGTGATTTACTGACCAAAATGTCAAACCTGACTGTATACAGGGTTTTAAAAAAAGCCAAGGATAATAAAAGTCATGTGTTATAGCCAAAGGAAGATGTTTTCATTTGATGTGCAGAATTAAATTTTATAGTTTAGAGATCTCATCATTGTATGTCAACAATGTTAAAATGTATCCAGAATAGGTCAGTGCCTGGTTTTTGCAGCTATATAGCCAATATGAGCTGATTCCAGCTGCTGAATGCGAATGCCTGGGAATATTGGGCTTTCTTGAGTTACTGTGAAGAGAGTTGTTGGGGCTCTGAAAGGCACAGCCGCTGCTCACCGGAAGTGTCCTTTCCTTCTGGTAACTCCTCACGGTTATGAATTCATACCCTGAAGAGGTCTTTCCACTAGTTTCAGTGTTACTGTGTGCTGTAAAAATCAAATACAGTTGGCTTATTTCTTTTGAAGTAATTTGCTGCCACATTGTAAAACATTCATTTAATTTTACATGTGGTTAGTCTAACAATGCTGTGAAGAATTTTGAGGAATGCCCTCAACTGAGGTTTGTCAGTAATTAGCCTCATTTCTTACACTTGGTGACTTTCCCAAGTTTCCTAAGCATGTCCCAGTTTCATTCCTGTATTGGGATGACTTTTTTCTGATACAACCCTCAGGAAGGAGGCAGCCATCAAAATCCTTATCAGTAGGCTTAAGGATGGTCTTAATTAACAAAAGACAAATTTAAACCATCCCTTCTGTGGTCAGCATGAGCAGCGCTCTCACTGTACCCTCGTGTGATCTCTGTGCAATCTCCAGTAGTAAAGAACCGAAACCCTCAGCAGCCTGCATCATGTAGCCCCACTGGGCTGCTGTGAGGAGTCCAGTTTTGAATTCAAGTGTTTGCAGTCACATTTCTCTTCCCTCCACTTTAAATTCTGTTCTGTTTTCTGAACAGCACCTGGAACTTGGTTTTAAATAAATTTTTGCCAGCAAAGTAATACTGTTGTTACTGTATAGATTTTCCAAGCAGAAAGTCCTTGCAAGATGAAGAAAGGCAAACAAACCAGAAGTGTCTTTATCTGTGCGTACTATACAAACATTTTAGGAGGAGAAATGAGTATTGATGCATCTGTTTTCTCTCTTTACTATAGGCGTGCAGGATCCTCAGCATGAGAAGATAATTACTGTGACTACTAATGGAAGTATTCACAGCCCCAAGTTTCCACACACATACCCGCGCAATACTGTACTAGTGTGGAGATTAGTAGCAGTAGATGAAAATGTATGGATACAGCTTACTTTTGATGAAAGATTTGGGCTTGAGGACCCAGAAGATGACATTTGCAAGTAAGTCACTTTTCCTTTACCTTAGAAGAATCTGAAGGGAAGTGCGGGGTATGCAACAAATGTGTTGCTTGAGTTTTGCAAAAATATGACACCTGCATGTCAATATATTTATAAACTGCATCTTTCAACGTATTAGCTTATGATTTGCTTTTGCAGTGTTAGAGAAGGATTTCATTCTTGAAAGCTTTGGGGTGCCCCCATTTTCGTTCTGCCTTCGGTATCTGGGTCACAGGTATATTGTGATACAAAAATGTGAAATATTTAATCTCTCTCAAATAAAGGTTTTGACATCTGGGAAAATATTCGTGACAGAATGCCAGAGGAATGAATGTCTAAATTTACAGAGAAAATTTGGGTAAGCAGGTTACCTGAAGTGGAATTCAGGTCACAACACAAAGTACAACATCCCCGTTCAAAAAAACCCCGCCTTGCTGCGCAATATTTTAGTGGCTTTTAATGGTCAAGCTCTCAGTTTTCTATGAAAAGTAGCACTTACAATATTTCACGAATTGGCATTCTTCAGTGGTATTGCTTTTTTCCCCGACTTCAGTAAGTATTCTGCCGGCTCAGCCACTGGCACATGTTTCTGTAGGACCTCTGGAATCTGTATTTCCTTCCTGTGATTTCGCAGCCGAAAGCTTCGTAGCTTGGGTGAGAAACAACCATGACATAATGGACATCAGGATGGATATCATTCTGAACCAAGCCATCTGATCATGTTTTGGGTATTTTGTGAGGCAGTAGAGGCTGATGTTATACATGCTACTGTGGGTGGGTGAAAGGGGAGGGTTCCTAAACTCTTGTATCCTGTATCTGTCTGCCATCATAGCAACACATCGTAAAAAAAACCCCAGTGTGTGAATAGCAGTACCTTGTCTGAGCTCTTTTCAGTAACTTAAGTAACAGATAAAATATGTCATTTGAATGGCATATCCTCCTTTTGATGTGTTCCTGGAGAGGTAGTTCACACAAGGTTTTTCTTTCAGTTGAGTTTTTTTGTCTTGTTTTTCTGTTCGGGATTTTGTTTTTGAGTACCTTGTATACACATTTGACTTGATTCTTGCTTTCAGTTTTTCTAATTAACTGATATTTGGTTGGTTTATATCTTGTATCAACTTTTGATAACAGATTTTAATTTCTTAGAGGTTACTTTTGCATTTATCCTTAATTTGGGAGCTGAGGTTCGTAATGGTTGGACAGAGATCTTTCATAATTCTGAAGGGAGTAATTGCCAAGGCCTTGTCAAATATAATTAAAATACGAAGTACTATAAGCATACGTTTACTCAAATGAGTGCACTCCCTTTGCACAATAACTCTTTTCTTTAAATGAAAACTTAGCTTGCTTTTTCTTTTCTTTGCATATGGCAGAGTGAAGTGGCAAGTGAAAGGAAATCCAGGTAGGGTGACTCATTCGTCCACTTGCAAAGAAAAAAAGTAAGATAAGTTAAAATATTTTTAATATTATAACTAGTATTTTAATGGGAGTACATTTATTTTAAGTAAACAATGTGCTGAATACAAAAGTACTGGTCAAATTAAGAAACAGTAATAAATTGCTCATAATCTTAGTTGTAATCTTATCATGCTCGTATTTGTGCAGGGATACCAGGAAGTTGTATGAATGCAATTCCTGATACGTGCACTTTGGAGCACACACTGGGCTTTGTGGCTTGGAAGATATGACCCTCTGAAAGAGAGAGTTATATTGTTGTTTTTAACCAAAAGAAAAAAACATGAAAACATTCGTATGTCCTATGAAATTCAAATTCGGTAACAAACTCAGTAGAGAAAGTGTACCTTGTTTGATGTCAAGGGAGTGTAACTTATTGACAAGTTGAGGAAATAACTAAAACACAGAGAGTTTAACTATGTAAAACAATTCTACACAGGTCAAGTAAGTTACTAGTTATCACAGTAATATCTCTTTATAAGTAATGTGTTGTATTTCTTATCTCTTGTTGTTCCTAATAAAATTATTTAATCTTTTTCCAGTACTTTCTATAGAAAAGCTAAGGCTTTTTATTGACTACATGCCATACTACTTAATATTCCACTGTGTTTCTGCCATCTTGAAACACACAAGTCAATATTGTTGCTGTAGAGTACTCAACAGCTGCTCCGAAGGCAAGCTTATGTGACAAAGGACAGAACAAAATATGACATGACATTTAATGTGTTATAACTCCCTGCCTTACAGTGACCTGATCATTTACTTCTGACCTGTGACTGAAACTAGGTAAAAACTGCAGCCCAGTAACGCTAGACTTTCTATGCAACAGTGTACAGTTTGTACCAGGATATCTTCCTCCCCCTTCTGCAGGGTAGGAGAGGACCTCATGAGTTTACCTACAGTCGTCATTGTCACAGTTTTCAGTTGCTCTACCTGCTTCTTAAGATGCACGTTCTGTGCCACGCCAGAGCTTTCTGTGTTGTCACTGTAGGCTGTAACGCCTTGTAGTGCCCGCCCACTGGGCCAATGAGAGAATCTTCTGGAGTATGTTAGTTTAAGATAATTAACAGCTTTTAAATCTCGTAATAATTCAAATATTACTCACACATGGGAAAAAAAAAACAAAAACAAAAACATATCCGGCTATATATGACTTATTTGCTTAACATAGTTCTGTAACAGGAGAACAATAGTAGCGGTGCGTGAGAAAAATCCTAGGTGAATCCTGAAGCTGTGGCAAGTTTTTGCCTGTATCTAGCTGACCTCACCTCCACGCTTGCATTTCTCCAAACTCAATTCTGACATTTCAAGCTATTCTGTGAGATTTAAAGATACATTGAAGGTACCAGTCTAGTCTCCACTTTAAATACTTTCCTGAATCTGAATCAGAGTGATCCTGCATGTCTTTTTTTCCATTATGTTTTTACCTGAAATTCAACTTACAGTATTTACTAAGTAGAGCATTTGTATTACAGCATATTCTACGTGTATGAGCAGCCATCCTGACCCAGCCTCACCTGGAACAGCATTAACATGCATAGCCCTAATTGTTGTGCTAATTCTCACTGGTCTTAGAGCATGACTGCTGTGTTCTGTATGTTTTGGAAACAAAGTTTAAATTATAGGGTTTTTTAGAATAAACTTCTGATATTTTGTCTATATTTCTCCAGGTGATTTTTGTCCCAGCTTTACAATTGTGATGTGCTTGAAATTTCTGCAGTTCATCTCTGCATTGCTTAAAAATCAGATAATGATTTTTTTAACAGTAGTTCTACTTCTTCTGCACTTTCTAGGGGCAAAATGTTTAGAATCCTACTCTGTCCTTTCCAAAGTGAACACAAACTCCAATTTACATGGAAACTAGATCCATGCATGTATCTCAGAAGAGATTTAGGTTATTCAGTTGTTAATAAGAGTATATAAATCTCTGCAATATTGCAGTAATTTTAATCTTGTATGCTTTGTTTGCATTCAGTTATGACTTGAGAAAGAAAAAAGTTAGGAAAAAAATTTCCCCTGGCAAACCAAACAAACAAAAAAGAAGGATGCAGTCTCCTGGCTACTTTGTGCACTACTGTTCAGATGATAGAACCGGCAGTGAATTTTCCTTACATTAGGGAATTTGTAGCTAACAAAGGCATAGTGGATCTATGTTCTGTATGCTCACCCTTTCTGATGAAGAAAAGAATCAGCTTTTTTTCTGCTGGTATGACAGATCATTATTTTCATGATGCTAGCCCCTCAATTTTGTTTTAATCACAAGGACATTAGAATTCTGTGCCTGACAGCTCCTATCATCAGGGAGATACCACAACTCTCCTTGACCAGGATGGACTGATTTTTCCTGGTTGTCCAAAATTGTTGCGTTCCGTCTTCGAGAACATGCAGTGAGAAAAGCTTTGGGATAAACTCCTCTGTGACAGGAAGACACAGATGTATCTTTCTTCCAGGAAGAACATGGAAGCTACAGTTGCCTTTAACAGGCAGTCTGATGTTGTGAGTAGGTTGTACACTGGAGCATTACAACACAAGGCTGCTGCAGGACAAAGAAAAAAAATACTCTTTCTGACATTAGTAACGTGTGCCAAACTCGCTCTCACCCTGTGCATAGAATGCGTTTAATTTTTCATCTTAGTGGTAGTTGCAGCTGTTGTTTCTAATCAGCAGATGATTGCAGTCTGTTTGACTTCTATTATATATAATAAAATATAGAAATATGTCACAAATCCAAAGTGCAATTACTGTAGATAAGATGATAAGGATAAAATACATGAGTACAAGAATGTGGACCCAAGCCATAGTTGAATAATAGATGCCATTTGACCATCATCTTCATTTTAGGATAGCTATACTCTTTTCTGACCTCCTTCAGTCCTCTAATAGTTTGAAGTATGAACTATGATCTGTTTTGCATGGGATTTTTTGGGGGGCAGGGCTTTTAGCAGCTGCATATGTGAATCTGTTCACGTAGTTATATAAATGAAGCATTTACCTATAATGTTTTGAAAGAATTCCCAAAGCTTGTCTAGTTAATATATGCAGTATGTACAACATTCGACTGAAATAAGTTAGTTCAGCTGAAGGCAGCTGTCAGCGCTAACATGGAGTAAAATCTATATGAGTAGTACTGTGAGGTTTTTTTTCTTCTTAACATCACATTAAATACCTAACTCTTAATACTGGGAATGTTCTTCCTCTGAGGGTTCTTAGGATGATGCTTTATGATACAGAGGCACATGCGTTAAATTCACTACCTCCCTTTTCCCTAATGTTTCTGTGAGCTACTTGCCTTCATTTCAGGTTTGTTGTGACTGAACTCTGCCCGAATTACTCCCTTCCATTCAGGGAACATCAAGGTTCTGTGGTAGAAACCATAATCCAACCAGCTTCAACAGTCATATGTGTTCCTAGTGAACGTATCATTAGGAAATTGCTGACAAGGGTTAAAAAATTAGAATTGGCTCATTCTGACAAGACTGAAACAAGTGTATTAAGAACAAACATACAGATGCTGTCTTTAGTCAGTAGCTATGAAGAAGGATAATATT